TAGAAGAAACGAAAGAAACAAACTTTATTGGAAATAAACCTCTCAACAGTGAAAATATTTCAAGAAAGAAAATCATTACACCTAGAGAGAAAAAATAAAAGTGAAATGATTTACAGATAAAATAGCTGATTATTTAGAAAATATAGAACAATCTATACTTGAAATTATAGTGTTAATACATAAAATCAATGGAGCAACTGAATATACAATCAATGTGCAAACATCAATGGTATTTACACTTGTAGCAACATATATTTCTAAAATAAATTTTTAAAAAAGATGCCATTTACAGAAACAAGATAGTAAAATGCCTATATTATTCCTGTGTGACTTCAAAACTAAAATATACGAAATGTGTGATACAGAGAAATTAAAGAAAATTTAACATAGCAATCACGGCCTGAATATTGTTGGAGAAGTCACACCACAAATATCCATAATCTTTAAAAATTATGTGACAGATTAAAAGGAGTCCCAAATGTAAATCCCATGAGAGCTTTTTGATGTCATTATTTATTTATATCATGCCAGATGAGTAATATGCCAATTTCATATTAAGATTAGGGAGGCACATCTCACATATTCATGTGAAACCCAATTATCCCATTTATAAGCTACAAAACGTCAGCGCTTAATTTTTATTTGAGGTGTCATGTACATAATATAAATTTCATCCACTTAAAAATTTTAATACATTCATTGAGTTACAACAAAGATCACTATGAAAAAGAAACACTCTAGCTATTGGCAATCACTTTCTAATTCACCTTAAGCCCTTGGCCACCGCTATTCTATTTTCTGTCTCTATGGATTTGCCTATTCTTGATATTTCACACAAACAGACTCACATTACATGTAACTTTTAGAAAGGTTTAATGACACAAATCTAATATCCAGGAAAAGGAGTCAGGCACAACAGCAGTGATATCTGCACTTGTTGGTGTGTATATTATACTTTAGTGACTCCTTTTGAAATTTATTTTCATTGCTGAAACAAACAACATAATTCATTTTCAGACTTAAGTGATCAAAATATTATTTTCATTTAATAAAATATAAAATTACCTGATAGACTCCAAACTCAGGGGTTTCAATTCTGAAACGTACGCTTACAACTATATTGTTGTGAAACTCCACATTTGTCTGCCTTAAGTTGTTGGTAGCTTATCTTTGCACAGTTGCATGGAGCAAAATATTCTGTTATCCTGTAGTGAAGAAAAAGTCCCAATTCATTTTATTTTGGGCAACAATCTGTGAAATAAGAAATTATCCATGTATTTTAAGAAAACAATAGCATGAAAAGAGGTTAGAACATTTATTATATTATAATAGTTGGTTATTAAACAAAACTTAAGTCCCTCTCTTACCTTGAGGGAGACATTAACTCCAGTGGATTCCTGAAAACATGAATAGTGTCAATACTCATATGAGTAAATACTATGCTTTTTCTCTACATACATACCTATAAATGGGCACAAGAGATTATGAATACTCAATAATTTAACATAATAATTATAGCAATATGCTTACATTACTACTCTTGCATTTGAGGCCCTTATTAAGTAAACTAAGCACTTATTAAGTAACACAGCACTATGAAGACTGTAGATCTGATAACTAGATGACTATAAGTGACAGACACCAAGTAGCACACACAGTTTGGATACTCCAGAAAAAACAATGATTTGTGGTTCAGATGGGAGAGATCAATACTATCAAAGATTTGATCATGCTACTCAGAGCAGTTCACATTTAAAACTCATGAATTGTTTTTTCCTGAAATTTTCTACTAATACTTTTGGCTGAGGTTGATCCTGAGCAATGAAACCACAGAGAGTGAAACTGTGGTTTAGGGGGTGTACTGTAGCACATTATGTAATATTTATTTCAACATTGTACTACCTTTCAAAATCTTTCCTCATGTCTAAAAATCAACATAAGCTTATTCATATTATTCTTTGAATTTCTCCCTTTTATATATTTTTCAACTTTATGGCATTGTTCCAAAAAACTTACTTATGTTTGAACACTGAGCCCTCTATTGACACCCATGAATGATCACTGTTGTTACGGGAGACTCCATCCATGCTTCACGTACGAGAGAGGCCAGAAGTTTCTAACAGAAAACAAAAATTTTCATGTAAGTAACCATTATGATAGATTGTATTAACTTAAAAATACAATAGTGTATTTTTCATAAGATCCTTAATTTTTTAAGCAATATACTAAACAAAAAATTTTCTGTAGTGTCTACATTTTTTGTGTAAATTCAAGGTATTCAAACATGTATTGTTGCATGTATGTATTGCCTTGTAGTGAAATTCAGGGTTGAAGTAAAATCATCATCTGAAAAATGTACATTATACTTATTAAATAATTTCTCATCCATCATCCCCCTCCCTCTCTCTGTCCCTTCAGTGCTATCAAGGTTTGTATTTCACTCTTTATGTCCATTTGTACCTGCTATTTATCTAACACTTACATATGAGAACATGTGGTATATGATTTTCTGTTTTTTACTTATCTCACTTATGATAATAGCCTCCAGTTCTATTCCTGTTGCTGCAAAAGTCACGAGTATTTCCTAAGGAATGTGTCTCTTTGTATGTGTTATTGTGTACGTGTGTGTGTATATATATAAGCACACATACATATGGCATATGTGCAAATATATATATGCATAATACATTTTTAGTCAAACATTTTTATTCAAGCATTTGTTAATGGACACTTAGATTACATCCATATCTCTGATGCTGTGAATAATGCAACAGAAAATGTATAAGTGAGTGTTTCTTTTTTGATATAATTAGTTTTCATTTGTGTAGACACCCAGCAGTGTGATTACTGGATTAAATGATAGTACTGCTTTTATTTTCGAAAAATCTCCAAACTGTTTCCCATAGATGTCGTACTAATTTACATTTCCACCAACAGTGTATAGTGTTCTGTTTCCTCCACTTGCTTGTGATCATTTGTTATTTTTTTCCCTTTATTGATATCATTTTGACAGGTGTAAGTTGGCATCTTGTTGTAGTTTTCATTTGCACTTATTTGATTATTAGTGATTTTGAGTATTTTATATGCTTGTTGGCCATTTATACATTTGTTTTTTGAATAATGTTTGAAACGGAATACTGAAATGCTTTGAAACCTGAGGTCCAGGGCTCAACAGAGTTGACTGGATATCTTCAAATCTCCACCAACAGAGAAAGTGAAGTAGGTCTGCTGTTCCCTAGCACCTGACTTAGCCGTATTTGTAATATTAAAACACAGGCCAGTGGTTTTTTGAGAAGAGGTAGCAGTGATGAGCACGTATCCAACAGCAGTGCTGAAAACTTCTGTTACACGATATTTGTATTTCATATGTTCATTTTGTGATCAGCCTGCACAATTAAAATATACTTAGTTTGAATAGTGTTGATCTAAAGAGAACTCATATGTTTAACTTAATAATTTTATACTCTTCTCAAGTTAATTTAAAAAAATGTGATTCACATAATTTAATAGTCACCCAAGTTGTCAAAACTAACAGCATGGATTTAAGTTTCCAGTTTTTGCATTCATTTCTCAGATATTGTGACTAAATCAATATATTTTTCACAGATATTCAGAGTTGTGGTTTAGAAGGGAGTTAAGAAATTGCCATCAAGAAAGTAAATGACATATGCCCCAAACTCCTCTTTACTTGTTTCTTAGAGGAACTACATCATTTAAAACTATATCAGCCCCCATTTTTATCTGATTTCTTTTTTATTGAATACAGTGTTCCAAGACCAGGTGGTATATATGCATTCTCTGCATTACTCCCTACAACATTCAACTATAAGCTATACAACAGATAAAAAACAGAAGCAAAGGAGAGCTGGGAATGGTGGAAATAGAAGACTAAACTGGGCTCAGTGGCTCAGCCTGTAATCCCAGCACTTTGGGAGGCCTGAGGCAAGAGGATTCCTGAGCCCACAGGTTCGAAACCCACCCGGAGAAGTTGACCAGACCTTGTCTCTACGATAGATCAAGAATTAGCCAGGTGTGGTAGCACGTTCCTGTAGTTCTGGCTACTTGGAAGGCTGAGGAGTAAGGATCGCTGGAGCTCTGCAGGTCAAGGCTTCAGTGACCAGGAGCGGCCAGTGCACTCCAGTCTGGGCAACAGAGTGAGACTCCAACTCAAAAAATATATATATATACATATATGTGTGTGTGTGTGTGTGTGTGTGTGTGTGTGTGTGTGTGTGTGTGTGTGTGTTTATTACTGGCTGAAATAAGCTTTCAACAAAGTATTTGAAACTTTGACCACCATACCATTTCTTCTTCATCATCTATGTAAAGCAGGCTGGAGTTCATAGAAGCACAGGCCATCATACTCTCCTCCCAAGTTTTTGTTTCCTTTCCAATGTAATAACAGCTGTTGGAATATGTAAACCATTCTTCTGGACAACCACAATTATGTGCTGAGGAAACATTTCAAATTACTATCAAGAAACAATATGAATACTTTAAAGTAAAACAATGTACAAACTCTTGTCATATATGTACGTAACATATCTACGTCTGCTCACAGGATGTACATATAATTAAAAACCCACTTACTCATACACGTACACACTGTAAAGAGATAGTCTCTTGTTCCTTAATTATGTTCAAACATGAAGCTAACCAACAGACAAAAGGTCACATTACACACATCTTGTAATCACTGAACATACTTTTCTATAAAAGTAAAATTTTTATCTCATGTTTTTATAGCAATAGGAATTTGCAACAAAACAAAATAGGGTATAATGATTTTGAATGAGTATTTAAATTTATTGCTAAAGAAAAGAAAATATGTTCTTATAATCTTTATTTACAGACATTTATGGCTAAATTTTGCAATTTATTTTCCTTCAATAAATTTCTGGCTATTTTTGCATGGCTAAAGATCAATATAAAACATAAACTCTTATTATCAGAACTTTGGAAATCATTACGTACCTTTCTGAGTGCTTGCGTTTTGGAAAGAATTGGTCTGCTTCTGTGTTGCTGTAGTTAGAAAATTTAAAATAATCTTTTATTTAAAAAAATTAGTATCTGAATAAGTCATAATTATGTTAGCTTCTTTGGAATTTGATAAATTAGGCCAGACTTGGAGGCCTAATTAGGAAGGCCGAACCTAGTGGACTGCCTGAGTTCATAGGTTTAAGACCAGCATAGGCAACTCATCTCTACATTAAATAAGGTAAATTAGCTGGGTGTGATAGTGTGCACCTGTAGTTCAGCTAATTAGAAGACTGAGGCTGAAGGATCGTCCGACCCAACATGTCGACGCCAGGGTGGCTGTAAACCACGCCCCTGCACTTCAGCATGGGCATTCAGATATTGAAAAATGTAGGATTGTACGAAACAAAAATATATGAAGTAATTGAGGTTCGGGAAAAATATTTAACAGTATAAAGAACAAATTCACCATCTCATACAGTACTTGATTTAGCCACTTTCAAAAATTAATTTCTACTTCTCAGTAAGATTTTTCAAATTGCAAAACATGTGAACTGAACGCTCATCCTATAAAATTAATAGATTATGTTGAGTGGAAGTAAATCATCAATTATGTATATAGTTTATATATATATAATACAGATGTAATTAATTGCAAAGAGATAAATTGATATGTCTAGTATCTATATACCACATTCTATAAAATAATGCTTTCAAGTGAAAGAGAATGTGAGAGTTTAATAGTTTTCTTAGAGTTTGCAGTCACTGCAAAAGATTATGACTATCAAAAAAACTCACATGATAATCAGTACCCTAAAAATTTTCCTTCATAAAAAAGGTGAGAACTATCCTGAGAAATTCATGATCAGAATAATAAGACAGGTAGCACTCACAAATGAAGACAACTGATCTTTAATCAGGGAGCAAAGGCCATTCAATGAAAAAAATAAATTGAACTTAGTTAAAATCAGTCAATTTTAGTTGGCAAAAGACAGTGTTAACAGAAAGAAAAGATAAATTTGCAGACTGAGAGAAAATTTTTTCAAAGCACATATATGGTAAAGGATTTGTATCCAAAATATGCAAATCATGCTTACACATTTACAAGAAGAAAAAAAAATTAAAATGAACAAAACAAGTGAGCCCAACTTCACCATATAAAATATACAGATGGCAAATATATAAATGGTTCATTATATATCATTAGGGAAATGCAAATTAAAACAATTATGAGATATCTCTACACATCTACTAGAATGGCTAAAATCTTTTACAGTAGAAATTTGTAAGATGCACAAAAAAACTGTACAAATCATACCTCAAATTGTTTCAAAAAAATTGAGGAGGGACTACTTTTTATGAAAGTAAAATTAATTCTCACTTATCATACTATGGCACTAGAAAATTTGAGTGAATAGACAAAAGGAGACCAGAGGAATCTCAAGTGAGTATTTCTGCTTATTGTTAAAGACAAGGAAGTGTTCTATAATTTTTATTTATTAGCATTTATAGCATAATTTTATTGTTTCCCCTTCATAATCTGTTATAATTTTGAGTGCCTTAAAATAGAGACAAAATGTAAACTATATTAATTCCAGAAATTTGAGAATCGTATGTTCCCTTCTGGGTTCTTGTTATCAGAGAAAAATTATTCTGCTCCAGTATTACATTAACTATAGAAATAAAAGTAATATTTAAAAATTAATACATAAAGAATTTATAATAATTTTAGTGTCTTACCCTAAAAATATGTCACAGTAAGAATTGAAAAGTTTGAAATACCACTAATTCTTTTAGAAAACGTAATGAAATAATTAGATCTTTGTAAAAAGAAAAAAGCCTGAAACTCCAAATTTATCATCTGTTGCAGTATTTTATATAACCACTTTCAGAAATGAATTTGCATTTTAAACATGTCTTAACCTTGAAGCATGTCTTAATATTATTAAAATAAATGCAATATTATATATGTGTATAATTACATATATGTATAATTTAAACAACTGTTTTTTCCAATGATTATAGTTTGAAAAACTCAGAGTAAGTATTTTACTTTGGGTTAAGTATGTACTTTAAATGAGAGCCCATTTCCCTAATATGATGAAATGCTGAGATGCATGCCATTCAATAAAATGTAAGTACTCTTACAATCTCAAGAATATACTTACCGGAAATAAGAACTATTGTTTTTAACACAGAAGTCATCAGAACAATACAGATTATTGCCAAGATCTCAGCAGTAATCTTTTTTGGAGGTGATTGTAAATCTGCACAGAAAGAAATAAAAAAAACAAAGGAAGGACAGTAAAATTAGAAGATTTGCATATGAGAGAACTCACGTGTGCAAAAAATTACATGGATAAACTCTGGTCACTAAACAAATATCTGCCACACTAAGCTTTCTCTCAAAATACAACATTTTATTTTCAGTAAATACAATGCTCTGTTGTTATTTGATCAAGGCCTACAAAGTTAACAAAGCCTGAATAAAATTAGTCTTCATATTTCATATTAAGATATCATAGCCTGACTCTGAGCTCTGATACTATGACTGAAAAATAGTCCCTAATCTTTCAAATGACTCTGTTCTCCAACTGCACATCCTAGTAGAGTGATACTGAAGATTGACTAAATATTTTACCTTTGTTGTGGTAGGTCATATCTTCCTCTTGATGATCCAGAGAAGCATTTTGAAGTTTTAATTTCATGTGGGTTTTTTCCTGTTCAGTTACTGAAATGGAGCATTCAGCGACCTTAGGTTTTGTTTGCTGCTTCTTTGGGTTCTCGGACAGATTAAGTTGTGAGTAGTAGGTTCTTCTTTGTTTCTTCATCTCTGTAGATATGTGATGTCAGAGACTGTGCTCTATGGTAACTTTACTTAATAAGTTAATAAATGACTTATAAAATGACAAGATCCCTGGTATAGTCAAATGGTATATGCTAGAGGCTAGTAATAATATTTATTTGCAGGCAAATACTGTAAAATCTGGTTCCAATTTTCTTAGAGCTTTAAACAAAATTATCATGATAGAGTAAAGAAATATTATTCTACATTAGACATAATATTATTAGTGGGAGCAAGAAATTAGTGAAGAATAGTGAGTTAATGACTAAAAAAAATTAAATAAATTTAACAGTTTCTACAGAAATATTATGATACCATTAGAATACCTGGGATAAAAATTGAAATACTATATTGGAAAAAAACACACTAATTTCATGACAATTTTACATTTATTAATCATTGAAGATTTAGTGCTATAAAATGAAAGAGCAATATTGGCACATATGGTAATTTCATACTCTAAAATACATTTAGTTAGTAACTTACATTAACATTCAAACTTTAAGAAATACCCTATGGTGTCAAAATCATAAAGATCACTTTACTTGTATAAGCACTAAAAATATTCTGGTGAAGTTATCTAGACATTGAGATACAGAATTATTTCTGGCACTGAAATTTATATGAGATCATTATAAATTTAATTACAGCATATAAAATAATTCACTAAATAGGAGTCTGTTATATCAGTGTGATGCATCATTTTTTTGCAATGTTTTCTCAAATTTTAAAAACCTTCCAATTATTTATTAATAAATTTAGATAGAATTTTATGAAAACTAGCTCATGTTTATTTTTCCTAAATATAAAACTCCTTTCATTTACCTAAAAATATGTACGTAAATTATACTTGGCATTCATAATTTGATGTATTTATACTAAAAATTTTATCTTTAATGGGTCGGCTAAATATAGTTGTTTTTATACTTTTACTGATTACAAATTCCAAAAATAGTTATTCATTATCTTGATGGTTGCAAGTTTTACTTTAAATTATATTGATTAACAAACCTAATATAATGTGTGTATATACTTGCCTAATTCTCTACAGGCAATAATTTAAATGGTTTAAGAATTTTTCAAAAAATATTTTATATATTAGTCTTATTTTTCACCATAATTTATTCAAGTAAAAATGCCAATATTCTACTTTGATTTCATTCTAAGTTAATTTAACCTAATTTATACTGTATCTAGCATTTATAAATTTTTGTATTATACAAAATGTGTTGCTAGAGAAAGAAAAGAATAACAACACATACCTTCTGTCACCAGAAAGTCCTGCATTCTTTAGTGGAGAGGTCAGGTTATTCTCATGAGGAAACAAAAAATATCTGTGATCTTCACCACTGCCCTGAGAAGGTTCAGAGTGAAGCAGGAGTGGAAACAGTAGATCTCATAAATATGTCACTTACGATTTGAATAGAAAACTCTCATACTTTAACTAATGTAAAATCAGTTTCTCTCATCACACTCACACATTTTCAGAATATGGGAGACTTTGGTTCCTAATGTGTCATTTATTTTGCCCATTTTCAAATGCCTCATAAATTATTTTTATATTTAGCATGATGAAAAGGAATAAAAACTATATTAACTATGAAATGTCTCCCATCCCGATCACAAACATTAAAATCTTAAGCCTTGTTAATAGTATCTTTAATGTGTAAGTTCCACAGTTAGACAAACTTGTAATTACATACTTTTTTCCTTCTACATTTAATATTATTGCTATTATGATGAGTTTTTTTTTAAAAAAATATTATTCCCCACCCATAGGAATTTAATTTGTCACTAATTATTATGAGGGATGACTACATTATTAACTTTTAGTAAAATCAATTTCTGAACTAAATTTGCAAATTTACCTTGTTGATTTCTCTAATTTGTAAAATTCATTGTTCAATTTTATTATTTAATAAGCTGATCATATTTCTCTAACAAAAATAAATGTCTCTTGGAAGGATAAAATGTTAAACACTATTGAACTATATGACCATGTCAGATATTGAAATAATAACTAATGACTCATTTTATTGTTCACTGATCTATTGTCCAATAATAAATAATTATCTATGTTTTCTTAGAAATATTTATGTAAATAGCTAAATTTAAGTCAAACTCTGTAGAAGGAGATAAGTAATTTTTAAGATGTCACCTAATTAAAAGGAGGAAGAACAGAAAAGGCACTTTGAAACAAAAGTTCAATGACATGTGAACATCAGAAGAAAGACTTCAAATTATCCAGTTTACTTAAATTCGAATTGTTTTATTATTTTTTTATATAAGAAAAAAGGGAATATCTGTTGTCTGTAATTCCAAAGTATATTCTATGATACCTCTTAAAAATTAAATTTTTGGAAAATAGCTTTCTAAAATCTGGAAAAATAAAATTAAAATTCATATGTATGTCCTTGAAATCAGATCAGTTATTTGAGCCTTCCAAGACAATGACTAATCTGAGCTAGCCTATGTATTTCTGTTAATTATATTTTAAAATATTTTAATAAACTAAATCAATAACCTGTTATGCTCATACACTTGTGTGCTTATTGTATTTCTATTAGTAATACATTTATTTATATTTATGTATTACAATTTCATAAACTACACTAATATATTTTATATTAGCCTTAATAAGGAAATATAACAACAAAGTCATTAAAGATAGCAAATAATGTAACATTCACCAACATTTTGCTTTTAAATTTGAGATACTAATGTCTTCCATTCTTCCTTCAAACACGCACTTATTGTTTCCAATTAAATAGCATTATAGTCATGTATTACTTAATGATGCGGAAACCTCTTAGAAAATGTAAGGTTTGATGATTTTTCATTGTGTGAACATCATAGAGAGGACTTTCACAAATATAGATCATATAGGCTACTACACACCTATGCACATGGTATAATCTATTGCCTCTAGGCTACAAACCCGCACAGCATGCTACTCTATTGAATATTGTAGACAATTGTAACTTGATGGTAAATATTTGTGTATCTAAACATAAAAAGGCAAAAATGGTATGCTGTACAGGGCACTTACCAGCAATGGGACTTGCAGGACTGGAAGTTGCTCTGGGTGTCAGTGAGGGTTGAGTGAATTTGGAGCCTATGGCATTACAGTAATTTACTATAGTAAATTGTATAAATACTGTGCACTGAGACTTCACTAAAGCTATACAAATATTTTTCTTTCTTCAATCATAAATTAATATTAGCTTACCGTAAATTTCTACTTCATAAACTGTATATATAACTTATTGGGTTTTTTACTTATTTGTTTGTATTTATTTATTTATTTATTTAGAGTTGGGTTCGCACTCTGTCAATCAGACTGGAGTTCAGTGGTACGCTTCTGACCACCACAGCCTCGACCTGCCGGGCTCCGGCAATCCTTCCGCCTCAACCTTCCGAGGAATTACAGGCATGCGCTACCACGTCCGGCTGATTTTTTGATTTATTGTAGAGATGAGGTCTCGCTGCCCAGGCGGGTCTCGAACCCGTGGGCCCAGGCAATCCATTCACCTCAGCTTCCCAAAGGCGCGGGATTACAGGCTGAGCCACTGAGCCCGGCTACTATCACCTTTTTAAGGCTCAAATCTGTTGATGATGACAAATTCTCATAGTTTTGTCACTTAACGTAAGGCCCACCTCTTAATAACACCACAATAGGGATTAAGTCTCAACATGAAGTTTGGAGGAGACTCAAACAATAGCAAGGAACGTTACATCTTTCCACTGTCTAAGTAGGTTATGAGTTCTAATTTCTTACCCATTAATGAGTAAGGAATGTATAATTGCAGGACACTAACTAATGAATATTCAAATCTTATTAAATTAGCAAATCTATATATTATAAACAATAAAAATAATGTGAAATGATTAAAACCATAAATTAGAATTTAAAAACTTAATGTATTATTCAAATTAACTATTGTATTATAGCTAATTATATTAAATAATGTATTTGCATACAAATAAAGCATTTAGAATAAATATATTTAAAAATTGGACAATTTTAGTATATACAAAATGGTATAATCTTTTAAATGCAAAAAGTGTTTATATTAAACATAACTGTTTGCTCTCTTAATAGACACCCCTTTATATTTTATTTTTCATACTTTATTTTAAAGATATGGGGTACAATTCAGGATTAGGTATACAAGCGAACACCGTACAATAAAGTTTGTCCTCCCTTTGGGTCCCACTTTCCTGGTTTGAGATCAGGTACCCGTATTGATGATGTGTCCTCCTCACCCCGGCCCCAGCCGTATCCCACCTATGCCAATCCCCTTCTAATAGTATTATGGTAAATGTTCATGATTCACTTATAAATGTGAACATGTGGTACTCTGTTCTTTGAATGAGACATCCACTTAATATAAGTATAAAGAAAAAATTTTAAAAAGACATTAAAACATATACCATGCAACACAAACTCATGAAACTCCTGTAGTTGATTTCCTGTCATAATGTAAAAGAAAAGCATTATTGGAAATGAAGAAGCATGTGTCTTAAAAATACATTTATTACTTTGCTGTTAGTAATAGTTTACAGGGTAGCACAAGTTCAACACAGAATTGAATGAAATAAGTAGGTCATCAAAAGCAGGGATTTAACACTTGCACAGTTTATAACACAGATATTGCAGTGAACCTCTAGATTTAAACTATACAATTAAACACATATATGAACACACACACATACTCTCGTAACATACAGAATATTTATATTTTTAAGTTCACATGAAAATGTTCCAAAAATACACTATAATCTCATACTACCAAGAATATTAATACAAAAATATGGTGCTGTGCTTTCAATACCATAACACTAGCAGCTAGTCTTTACTAGCAGACACTTAATATGCAGCTACTCAAATTTTATATTAATTAATTAAAAATGAGTCACTTTTATTTTCTCAGTGACAATACTCATTTAAAACAAGACACAGAACACTTCCTACTTCACAGAAAA